AGGGGCAGGTGATCCAGTTCTAAGCTTCATCTTGTTTTATTACCAAGAAAATAAAATCTTGACATCATGTTCATTTCACTTGGTTGCATATGGGCATTTGGGAGGGAAAGAAACTAGCTGTCATCTATTAAATGCCCCTTGTAGAGGAATACATTATACTCTGTGGTTATCATGGGAAATGAATAAACTTTAAATGCACTGCCGTCGAGTCAGATCTGATTTGTGGCAACCCTTCCTATGAAAGAAGGTTGCCCAAACTTCCCTTTGAGGAGTGGCTGGTGCATTTGAACCACCAGTCAAATGCCTTAGGCACTATGCCACCATGTTGTTATGTGCCGTCGAGTGAAACTCATAGGTGACATTAAACCCATCGTCGTTATGAGTAGGAAATAATTTTCACTACTTCAAAATATTCTTTTTCTCCCAAATAATTTCTACATGTATAATTCATTGACATTGATTACATTCATTAAGTTAATGCAATCATCCTATCTTTTCCAAATTATTCTACCACCATTAACCAATATATTGTCCTTAGTAAGGAATTTGACTCAATTCTTTGGGCACAGTATGATACCCTTGTCTTCAGGCTATATATTTTCAAATACCATGTACGCCCTGGATTTTTTAAAGTAGGTATGATTTTTTTTTTATCATGTTTAAGTAATTGTAAAGGATACATTTCTGCTGTCATGGAAGTAACATTTATTTATAACAGTTAAAAGTTTACATCACATCGTTATATATTGTTACCTTCCTGATGTCAGCTCTTAGTACTTAATGCAACAAAACTGTATGGCTGTGGGGAAACAAGTTTGCTACACACTTGATACTTTTATTGGAAGTATATCTCTGAGATGTGTCAGTTTTCACTTTAGATGAATATTGCTGTAGAGTAGGTTAGGGTTTTCCAATTTTAATTTATGTTAAGAAACCTCATTAACTAGATAGGAATAACCACTGCCACGTGAAGTCTGATCTAACTCATAGCGACCCCTTCTTAGGTTTCCAAGGCATTGTCCCAACAAGTAGATTGCCTAACCTTTCTGAAGAGTGGCTGGTAGGTTTGAACCGCCAGCCTTCTGGTTAGCAGTCAAATGGCTTAGGCAAGGAGCTTTGTTGTGGCAGTACCACTATCAGTTTTTCAACTATTGGCCTCCAATTGTATTAAAAACAAAGGGTCATCAATCACCTGAAAAGCAACAGATTATAACATTTTCACCTCTTCTTGATTGGGTTTTGAAACATTCAAGGTGAGTGAGAAGGTACATGCTATTTGTGCTCATGTGGGAGAAGGGTGATTTTAAGAGGGGAGGTGGTAACGGAGCAGGCTTGAAGTCTTGACTACAGGTTGGTTCTCAGGCAAACCAGTTTCAGGAAAAATAAGGAATTTTTAATTCCCTTAAAATTATCCTCGCCTACATAGGTATACGGTTGGATAGATGGGTGGACAGGCTGAATTATTAGATATGTCTGTGAAGCAGGGTGTGTACCCAAGACCATGTTTAGGGTTGGTAGACAATGGCCCTATAAGTGTATTTGTATGATCTGAATTCCCAGGTGTATAGTAGAGCTGACAAGGGAGAAGCCTGTAGTCACTTCTTGGTCACAGCCAGCTTAGTTGAACCTGTGGGCTGGGGACCATAGTCACAGGGGACATAAAGCTCAATTGGCATAACATAATACACAAAATATTGTTCACCTCCTACTTTGGCGAGTAGCCATCTAGATGCAACGATGGTCTCTCATCCAGAGCAAAGAAGAATGAAGAAAACCAAAGATGAATGGAATTAGTCCTAGCAACTGGTACACCATGTGATCTGCAGCCTATATGACTACAAGACCAGAAGAACTAGATGGTGCCTGGCTACCACTGTCAACCACTTGGAGGGGGATCTATGTAGGAGATCCTGGATAGATGGAGAACTGTGGAACAAAACTCAAAAGCATTTGGAAAAAAAAGGGGGGGACCATGTTTGCTGATCTGCTAGAGCCTGGTGGAACCACTGAAACTATGGCCCCCAGCTGCTTGAGGTAAATACACTCCTTGGAGAGAACAATCATGGGAGAAAGAAGGGCTGTTTATACACAGGAGACAGCTCAGGGCAGGAGTGTATGGAGGGATGGACACGAGGAAGAGGTGACTGTCGGGAGGAAGTGGGAGGGGAGCTGTTGCATTGTGAACGGTGGTCAATGTCGTTAAGACAGTGTATGTGAACTGTATGGAAAGTGAATTTGCTCTAAATTTTCACCCAAATCACAATTAAAAAAATTAATCCTTGCCTTCATACAGCAGTTTGAAAAGATCACTGCCTTGTCACAGGACCCCATGAAAATACGGCATGTCATCTGGACAAAATAGAAGATCTTCTGGACAGAAGTATACATGCCTGTCTTGCATCTTAGGTCATAATGTTACCTAGTTAACTTTTTGGTGAAAGTAAACTGTTTTCATCCTATGAACTTTATTTAGATAACAAAATGATCTTGGGATTTGGGAATGTAGGTTTTAAAGTTTTTCAGAGGTTCTTGAAAGTAGTAGTGGGCTGTTTGTGAACAAGATTCCTCCTTAAAAATTAAGTAATATGGTCCATGCTTAGGTTGTCTCTAGTGCCAGATCTGAAGTTATTATTTATCAAAGTTATTCCTGCCTGGGTTATTTTTTTCTGCCCTTCAATTGAGGAAGCAGAATTCATTCGATCATGCCACTGGAATAAGGTTTTAAGAGCCGTCCAAATGCCTACCTACCTCAGTAGGCAGCAATGTAGTCGTTAAGAGTCTGGGTTCAGATGCTTAGTCCATAGTGAACACCTGGACTAAGAGGATTAAAGTGAGTCAATACATGTTACACATCTTGACAAGTGCTTGCCTAGCACTGTACTCAAGATACCTTTAGAAGTAGTTTTTAAAAAGTTCAACTTTGGAAAATTTTATTCATTATGTGGGAATGAAGGAAAGACAGGAAGAAGTAGGATAAAATCATTTTTTAGCAGCAATGTATACATTCTATACACTTTAAAAGGAAATGTTTGGATGTTACAGTCCAGCTTCAGCTTGGTTTTTTTATCTGAAGCAAAACAGTGCCTGTGGGATTTATTCGAGTTTTTAAGGTTGAAGTCCATTCAAAGAGCCCAAGCTCTTTTTTCACAGGAAGGAGCTGTGTGATGAGGCAGGCAGGATTACAGGCCACTGATCTACCCAGGAAAACAACTGAAATGGTATGAGAACGAGGTCCACCTATCTCCAGCAGGTTCCTTATAGCCACGGCCCAGGCTAAGCTTGAGAGAGGCCGTTCCCACACTTCAAAGTTGTCTTCCTGAAAAGTAACCCAAGAATATAGGTGTAATAAGTATAATAATTTGGTTAACTGGCAATAAGCTGCCTCTTTAGTTTTTAGCATTTATAGTCAAGTATTTGAAGGAAAAAATAAAATTATTCTATAGCATATTTTGGAGTCCCTACCAAACCAAACTCACTGCCATTGAGTTGATTCGACTCAGTGACCCCTCCTTGGGTTTCTGAGGCGGTATCTCTACGGAATTAGATTGCCCACTCTTCCTTCTGAGGAGTGGCTGGTGGGTTTGAACTGCCAGCCTTCTGGTTAGCAGTCAAATGCCTTAGGCGCTACGCCACCAGAGTCCCTAGGTGGTGTAAAAATAGCATGTTTTGGAAATAAAGTAATAGTTCTAGCAAGAAGCCTCATTACTGACTCCAATATCAAGATCAAGAAAAAATATTTGCAGAAGATCTGTATATGTCTCCACATATACAATCAGGCTCAAGACAAACTTGGTAAACCCTTCCCACTGCCCTAAAGTTGATTGTGACTCAGTGACCCTGTAAGATGGAACTGCCCCATAGGGTTTCCAAAGCTATAAATCTTTATGGGGCAGAATGCCCTTTTTTCTCCTGTGGAGCAGCCAGTAGGTTTGAACCCCCAACCTTCTGGCTAGCAGAATGCTATAACTACTTCACCAAAAACAAACTCACTGCCATGGAGTTGGGTTTCTGAGGCAGTATCACTACGGAAGTAGATTGCCCAATCTTCTGAGGAGTGGCTGGTAGGTTTGAACCACCAGGCTTCTGGTTAGCAGTCAATGCCTTAGGCACTATATACCACCAGAGCTCCTTAAAGCCAACTTAAAATAGCCAAAACAAACATTTGGATGTATTGTACCATAATATAGAGAAAGCAGGAGAACATGTACCTGGCCAATTTCTATTTTCTACCATAAAACAATGTACTGTACCTTTCTAAGCCGGTACCCCTGCTTGCCCAGGGGGTCCTGGTTGATGGCAATTACATATTTATTCTGAAGTAGAACTTTGGCTTGAGGGCTGATGTGTCGGAGGTCATTAGACATGAGTAAGGGAGCTGCCATGATAGCCCAGAGGGCCATCTGAGTTACCTGCTGATCCCAGCTGAGGCCATAGTTGCCAATCACTAACTGGGATAAAAGAAATAATCCAAATAAGAGAAGATGAAACAGCACCTTTCTGTAAGTACACCCACATAAAGTCTCCTCCCACAGACCTAAATGAGGACTCAAGGTTCTTACCATATCTGGATCATTCCAACCCCCCGGTCCAGCGACATCAACAATTGTGTCCTGGTTAGAAGATGACCAGTCCAAAATACTCTTTACACTTTGCCAGGAATCAAAGATATCACCAAAATTTCTCCAGTGATTGCAGTACTGTCGGATTTCTGTGTAATTGGGCTATGGAAACAGAAATGAGTTGTATTTACTTTCTACTAACATAAGATAAAAATGGTCAAGTTGAAGGAGGCACTTGCAGCATTCTCCATTCCTATTATGGAATTTCACTGTAAGAAGTATGTTTCAGAATAGGTGATGTAACTTCAAAGTCTTTAAGTATGAATAGTGTTCATGCTGGTAATTTACCAAAAGGTGTTGGGTTTAGGGGCGATTTTTAAATTTTCTGTACTGTGTTTTCAAAGTAAAAATAAAACGAGCATGGATTATTACCTTTATAATCAGAAATAACTGAAATGATCTCAAGTGAAAGCTGCAAAATTCATAGGACTTGTCATCAAGCATATAAAACAGTCTGAATCCTAGGCATGCATTTGTTAATGCAATGAATGACAGTTTTTGTATGAAGTTTAAGATGTTGCAAAAAGAGGTGGGAATATTTTGCATAAATTAGAAGGAAATAATAGGGATTCACTCATAATTAACAGTTACCATATGGTAGGAATACAGTGATAAAGTCAGACAAGGTCCCTCCTCTCATGGAACTTACATGCTGGACAAACATGTCAACGACACTTCCATGTAGTACTAAGCAATCTGAAGGCAATTAAACAGGGCAATGTGAAAATGAACACGTAGAGGGCTACTTTAAAGAAAAGGAGAGCCGTCTTCTCATTTCTTCAAATGTATTTGGTAGGAGATTTCAATAAGGAACTGGCCATTTAAAAATCTTGAAGGAAGAGCGTTCTAGGCAGAACAAAAAGCAAGTGTAATGGTCCTGAGGCAGGAATAGGGTTGGGGTGCTGGAAGGACCCAGTGGAGAGAAGAAAACCAGTGTAGCAAGGGTGAGTGCTGGAAAATGATGCAGGCATAAAAAAACAAAACCAGACTCACTGCTGTCAAGTCAAATCTGACTCACCGCGACCCCTCTTTGGGTTTCTAAGGCAGTATCACTACGGAAGTAGATTGCCCAACCTTCCTTCTGACGAGTGGCTGGTGGGTTTGAACTGCCAGCCTTCTGGTTAGCAGTCAAGTGCCTTAGGCACTACGCCACCAGAGCTCCTGAGGCAGGTATAGTCACGTCAGATCAAACTGGGCCAGGTAGACTGTGCTTAGTTTGATTTTATTCCAAATGCAATGGGAAGTTGACTATGTTTTAAGCAGGGGAGTGATCCGATTCCGTTTATATTTTAACAAGATCACTCGGGAGCCGTATGAAATACAGATTTGGAGGGGGAGTGGGTAGAAAGTAGAAGTAGATCAGATTGTTAACAGTAGTCTGGATGAGAGATGATAGTTTCTTGGATAACCAGGATGGTAGCAAAGTAGATGGAAAGAAGTGGACTGACTGAGGATATATTTTTGAAGTAGTGCTGACAGGATTGGTGGTGGATAGAACACGAATGGTGAGATAAGGGAAGAATCAAAGATGACTTCCCAGGTGATGGTTGGTTGGACTACAACTATGGCAGTGGGGATGGTGAGAGTGACTGGATTCTGGGGGAGACGGTCGAATGATAGTTTTAAGTAAAGTTGGACTAGTAACTTTTAAGACCTTTATGACAGATTCTCAAGTTCTGAAAATCTTATCAGGAAGACTCTATTGGAATCTGGGCTCACTAGCTCACCTTACGAAAAGGCCACATATAAAGGGGCCACTCACAGGAGTACACAATGCTTCTGCTAGTTCTGTTCAGGGCCAAGGACATCTGTTTATAACCTGTATGAGAAAATAATGAGTAAAATAAGGGAGAGAAGGGAGTTTCCAGCTGGGGCTATATTTTTTTAAAAGAGCCAAATGCTTAATTGTTTGTGACACCTAGGGATTCCTTAGTTGACTTTTAGAGCCCTCTTAAATTGAAAGTGCACAATACTAGCCAGGTTTAGGCATATGGATTTCACATGAATGAATGAATGGACAAAATGAAAGAGAAGAGGTGGGAAGTGCTATGGCATTGAGAGTATTTTTAGTATTGTGACTGGGTAGTTAAAATTTGAAGATTAGTTCCTCGGATGCTCTACTACTTTGGCAAAGTTCTTCCCTTTACCAGTGGCTAAATCTCATGAATGAAACATACCATCTGCCAAATGTTCCAAACTGTCACAGTAGCAACCATCAAATTTTAGCAGATCTACTCCCCAGTCAGCAAAGGTCTTGGCATCAATGTCATAGTATCCAAAACTCCCGGGGTAGCCTGCGCAGGTTTTGTTGCCTACATCTGCATAGATCCCTAGCTTCAGTCCTTTACTATGGACCTGAAATTAGAGAAAACAGAGTTATCACAATAGCTGGTCAATCATAAAGTGCAAAAAGAGAGAACCACGCCACACAGGACAGAGACAAGTGCACTTCACCAGGGATCAGGTTCTTTTTTTCAAAAATCCCCAAAATTATATATATGAGTTCATTGGGAGACAAAGAACAAATCCTCCAATTCTGCTGAGCTAGTTTAAACTATACATGTGAGCTACAGTATAGAACTGAGAAGAAAACTACTAGCCACTCTAACCCTCCTTTGCACAAAAAGCAATTTAGCCTTGGTTCTTTCCATCCATACCAACACCTGAGGGTAATGAGTTAATCACCTGAGGGCCTGAAGCTAAGACTCATGAAGCAAGATGTAATCTATCATGGACATGTGGAGAGGACAATAAGAGCCTCACACTGGGGCTTCCTGGTTGGTGTACGGGAGAGGCTAGTGTGTCCCTCTTTTGCACTGTGCCCTCTCCAAGACCTCATTCTGTGTCTCTTCATTTGTATCCTTTTCGGTTGCAATAAAGTGGTAGCCTTAAGTAAGGTGTACTCTGAATTCTGTGGGTCACTGTGGCAAATTAACAAACCCACAAGGGCAGTGAGAGCCAACAAGGGCTGGCATCTGCCTGTTTGGCACTCTGAAAGGTGTCCTTCCAACGAGTGAGCTCTGACCTAGCTCCAGGTGGCTGGTATGAAAGACAGTATTCATCCAATTTGTGAGCTCTGACCTAGCTCTGGGTGGCTACGGTTGGAAAGAGTGTACCATGTGAGTGGCTGGCAATGAGGATGGAGAAGTGGGAAAGTGAGGACTAGACCTGTTTCCACACTTGGGGAATTGGATTCTTGCTGATCCTTGTCATGTAGTTAGCAATGAAGGTGGGATTTGCCCACTGTGCCCCTTGCTTAGTGCAGATCTAAAGTGTTATCTTTACAGGGCAATGATAGATATAGCTCCAGAATATTTCCAATCTTCTAAAATTCTAGTTGTCATTCCAATAGCTGCTCAAAGCTTAAATGGAAATATATGCACATACACATCTAGAACCAAGTTCCCTTTTTCTCCTTAGAGAATTCAACGGTTTTGGCAAAAGAAGAACTTATCCAATATGGCCCTTAAGAACTATTGCAAAACAAGTATCTGCTGATGGAATGAAAATTTCACTTGCTAAGCCTTATAATTCAATGTTCAGATAAGAATAGCTAGGCTACTTTCTACATGTCAGGAAGAGTGTTTCTGGAAAAGGTTCTGTACAGAAGTGCTTATAGGTCCCTGAGTGGAAAAGAGGCTTATTATGAACTCACATAATTAGCTAGGCGGCGAATCCCACCAGGAAAACGCATAGGGTCTGCCTGAAGATTGCCATTTGAATCTCGTGTGGAAGCCATCCAACAGTCATCAATGCAGATGTACTGATAACCTGCATCCTTCCAGCCATCTGATACCATGAGATCAGCCATCTGCATGAAGAGCTGCTCACTGAAAGACAAAATCCAAGAATCACTACAGCTTATTCAACAAACACTTGGGTGCCTTTGACTTGTCAGGCACCTTAGGGTTTTACAATTTTTTTTTACCACCCAGTTATAGTGTGGTAGTGATCACAACCAATACAAGGGAAAAGATTTTTTCATTGGGTCCTTTTTCTTCTCCCTCCCCTATCTCCTTAATACCTGAGCCAAAAAAAAACCCAAGCAACATTAACATGTCCAATTAACATAACCAAAAAAACAAACAAAAAAACCAAACCCACTGCTACAGAGTTAATTTGGACTCATAGAGACCCGGTAGAACAGAGTAGAACTGCCCCATAGGGTTTCCAAAGCTGTAAATCTTTACGGAAGCAGACTGCCTCATCTTTGTCCTGCAGAGCAGCTGGTGGGTTTGAACCGCCAACATTTTGGTTAGCAGCTGAGGTCTTTAACCACTATGCCACCATGAAATTGAAAGGCTATTAGAACTAGGAAGAAAGCTCTGTAAGATGAATTATTACAAAATTAACATAATTAAAGTTTCCTTAGTTACCAATGATAACCTTTATGGAGCAAAAGATCCCATTCACCAGTCACAGAAAAACCTAAAATACCTAGATATGCACCTAAGATATGTGCAGGACCCATCTGAACAAAACTGATGCTCCTAAATGATTTGAATAAATGGAGAGAAATACAAATCTCAAAAGGATTTCTTATTAAGGAACTTGACAAAACGATTCAAAAAGTTCATCTAAAAGATTAAACGTGTGAACATTCTAGGAAGGGTAAATAAACCTGGTGTAGTACTACTAACATTAGAATATATGTTGTTGTTATGTGCCGTTGAGTCGGACCCGACTCATAGCGACCCCTCCTTGGGTTTCC